CTCCATATGGAGGAGAAGACTTGCTCCGAAATGACGGTCATACCCGCCGCTTCTAAGTCCGCCTTGATAGACTCGTATACAAGGAGCTTCGTGAAATAAGCAGGGAGCCTAACTTTGGGTCGTTGTGAAGTCCCCCTCACAACCATTTCTTTAGGCATAGCATCTCCATGTTCTTCAACGAACCTTGTCACACGAGCCAGCATGATCACATACTCCGGTCTCGGGTTCAACAATGATCCCCATCGACCATGACGGCCACGGACGACCCCGTCCGACTTGCACTTGCTATAACGACGAAATGTGTTTCGACATATCCCTATTATTTTGCACCAACCGGCGATGCACACACGGCGTTTGCACTGCACTGGTTGGACTCTTTCCAGACCGCCGCCGAGGATAGTGAAATTGTCGAGGGTTTGCATCCACCACTCGATCCTCCTTTCGATAGACATTTCGTAATAGGCTTCGCGCACCGGTTTGATATCGTCAATGATCAAGACCCGAAGACACTTGTTCTTACAACATTTGTACGCCGGGACGAGCGCAATGTGAGTTTCATTCAATCGACTTTTGGCCCTCTTCGAATGCTCTGACCTTCTAACTGGCCTATTTTTCCGATTATATCTTCTCCTTTCTCCACGTAGGGGATGGGACAAAACATGAAGGACTGCTTCGGGAGTTCCAGGTTGGCTTTTGGTCGGGGACCTATGCGCTGCACCTAGGAATTTCGATTCGTCTGTGGGAGCGGTTCTCGGCAAATCAGATTCGGAGGATTCCGATGAACTGTAGAAATCTGTGTTTACAAAACCAGTCTGCCAATTTTTCATTGCACCCGTCGCTGTCATCGACGGAGAGCCAACTATTCCGGCTTCACATGCAATTCTCTTACCTACCTTCGCACTTCCACACGCAAGTACCGTTGCCTGGTCCCTATCATACCCGTTTCTACCAAATGCACCCACTGTTCCCGATCAAATCCGTTTCTATCGGGCGTACTGCAGAAGTCAGTGTCCACCAACGACCGACTATAGTCACATGCTAGGGGTTAGGTAACTTCAATGCTTTGAGACAGTCTACCCCCTGTCCGCACGAGATTGATCCAGTCATTTCGGACACACCACAAAAATTTGTGTCCACGAACATCCACCAACTGGAAAACGTCTCGGCATCCCGAACACCCTCACTAACGGGGATTAGCGCTGTAGATACGCGCTGACCGTCGGGAACGTCGGTAAAGCGAACAAAACGACGCCGGGCGGACGTCGTAGACGAGCCTGAATGATTCGTCGGGGTCAACATCGAGAACTCCCTTTTCAAACCGCAATGCCAATCAGAGGGAGCTTCCGGGCTGCTGTCACAAGAACTACGTTCTCGAACATTGTCTTCTCCGTGTTGTCGTGACGGTGGCGCTGGCGTGACACAGTGAACGGATTGGACAGCTATTTGAAGAGACGATTCACACGGAAACTGTACAACAAGAAAATCACGTCAACGTATGACGAGGTCAGGGAAATAAACAAGAGGGACCAAACTCACATTTCAAACATTTATCACAAAACAGTGGAACAACAACATTTGAATCCGTATCGTTTTGTCGGACCCTGATGTGAGGCTCAAGTGGTATCTCAAGTCCGACTCCTCACCCACTCGTTCAGTGTGCAAGTGGTTTGGATATGTCCGAGTAAACTTGCACTTTTTCAGGAGAGAGTACAAATGCGAGTTGATTTAGACTTATTCAACGTACAGTAAGAAATTAAGTTCATGGTTGGAACAAGAGCGAACACAAGCGCGAGTCGATTCGGTATTATCCACTAAACAGCTAGAAATTTCAAGTGTCAAAAAATTTGCACTTCATAGGAACATTTCAATTACGTCGTGCAATAAGAAATTGCCTTCGTGGTTGGTTCAGTGGCGAGTTAACTCGCAAATACAAAAGGACTTTATTCTTTTGGGCCGAGAAGAGACGCGAATTATCGACTAAAGAGGAACAAATTTAGGGGGATGGATGGTTGAAGAGCGAATAAATTCGCACTTGCAAACGAGCATTTCCATTATGAAACTGGGGCTTATGGACTAAAGAGTCACAAATTTGGGGGGATGGTTGGTTGAAGAGCGAATAAATTCGCACTTGCAGATGAACATTTCCACTATGAAACTGGGACTTTTGGACTATAGAGTAAGAAATTGAGGGGGATGGTTGATTGAAGAGCGAATAAATTCGCACTTGCAAACGGACATTTTCATTACGAAACTGGGGGTACAAGTGCGAGTTCATTCTGACCTATGGACTAAACAGTGACAAATTAAGGGGTTAATTCGTTCAAGAGCGAATGAATTCGCACTTGTAAACCACCATTTCCATTACGAAACTGCGGGTACAAGTGCAAGTTATTTCCGGGTTGTTCTGCGTGTAGTACGAGCCACAGATCGTCGCAAGAGAGAAATAGGAAAAGATGGCGTGCTATTTTTTTAGATGGAGAAAGATTGCGGAGCGATGGGCAGACGGCGCATCGATGAAAATACTCGGAGAGAGATGGTGCACCGAATGAGAGAGATGGCGCACCAAGAGAGATGGATGGAGTCACAGTCTTCCCCCGAATACAACGTCCGGTCATTACAACTAAATTCGGGTCATCTTTCAGTCTAATGACAACTATAATGAAAGTGCGTTGTATATTCCGGGGAAGAAGGTGGATGGCGTAGGAAGGGAAAGAGATCGCAAACTGATTGGGAGATGTGCTGCAGGGAGAGAGAGAGATTGCGCACCGATGGAGAAACATGGCGCAGCAATGGAGATAGCAGGCAAAGCGATGGTTAGCGATAGCACAACAATGGAGAAAGATGGCGAACCGAAGCAGATAGATAACGATGGAGATAGATTAGGAAAGATAGCGCAGCGATGGAGATAGATGAGGAAGGAGATAGATTAGGAAAGATAGCGCATCGAAGGAGATGGATGACGAAGGAGATAAATTAGGAAAGATACCGCAGCGATGGGGATAGATGACGAAAGGTCGGTAGAGATCGCGCATCGGTGGAGAGAGATGGAGAGAGGACGTGCAACAATGGTCGGCGATGCCGCAGCGATGGAGAGAGAAGGCACAGCGATGACCAAGATTTGTTATTGCACAACATCAGTTCCATCGAGTTAAACCTTCGTTAAGCATACCTGTCACCTGTTTCGTGCGATTCCACAGTGATGGGCGGCTGCATCGACGACGGCCTGAAACAACAATACAATGGCGATGGCGAGATCGCGCACGAGTAATGGAGAGCCTTTGGGGCAAGGATGGAGGTTGCCCGGTTGTCGAGAGGGATCACGCAGTGATGGAGTGAGATGGAGAGTGATCACTCAGCGATGGAGGGAGATCGTGCGGCGATGGAGAGAGAAATCGCGCAGCCCAGCGGTGGGATAACATTGGCCAGGGCTTTGATAGCGATGGCCAGCGCTGCGGTGAAGAGCGATGGCGCACCGTTGGAGAGCGATGGCGCGGCGATGGAATGCGTTACAATGCAGCGATAGCGATAGCGATGGCAGTGATGAAACAACGATAGCGATTGCGCAGCGATGACGCACTGGTGAAGAGCGATGGCGCAGCGATGGAACAGCGATAGAACAACGATAGCGAAGGCAGCGATAGCGATAGCAATGGCAGCGATAGCGATGGTGCACCGATTGAGAGATGGCGCAGCGATGGAACCAACGTTGCGATGGCGCAGCGATGGCCAGCGCTGCGATGAGAGCGATGGCGATTGTCAGCGCTGCGATGGTCAGGTGAGCGCGACGGCTGCGATGGGGGATATAGCTTTGCGTCGCGATGACGATGAGCTAAGCGCATCGATGGCGATGGTGCATGGCGAGCGTTGGCGATGGCGATGAGCTAAGCGCATCGATAACGATGGTGCATGGCTAAGCGCATCGATATCGAACGTCGTTGACATTTGCAAAATGTTCGAATGACAGCGACAACGGAACTAATAGATTTCCGGTGTTTTTGACCTCGGCGCACAACGACTCGTCGCGCCTCGGCGGAAAATAAACCGTCGCATGGCCTCGACACACAACGAATCGCCGCACCTTATAGATCCAGTTTACAGTTTGCGACGTACAGTGTTCGAGGAGTGAAAACTGTGAGGTTATTCGCAGTTTTCCCAAGGTTAGACGCATATTTCATTAAAGGCAGTTCTTTATTTCCACAAATGCGAGTTAGTTCGCACTTTTTTAGCAACATTGCTGGAGTGTTGACAACCCAACCCGTGCGGCTTTCCGGTCTTCAGTTACACAATTCCGCGTTAGTTCATACTTTCCCCTAGTGCTATGCATCGCCGTTATTGTTTTGTCTACAGAACTGCGAGTTAGTTCGCACTTGTCGAAACCCTTCGCAATTGTCGATAAACCAGGACTTCAGTTCCACAATTCGGAGTCAGTTCGTCCTTTCCTGTTGTACTTCGGGTTGCAATTGTCGTCCTGTCATCAGAACTGTGAGTTAGTTCTCACTTGTCGATTCGCACTTGTCGATAAACCACATCTTACTCGTTTCGTGCGTCTTTCAGGTCTTCAGTTCCACAATTCCGAGTTAGTTCGCACTTTCCCCTAGTG